AGCCGCAAGGCCGGGCCCGATGGGCGCCGCGAATGCGGCTTAAATCGCTTGGCGACCTCAGGAAAATCAGCGTTGATGGTTTCAGGGGGCGCTCTGTTGGGCGCTCCTGGGGCCCTCTTGGGCATCTCGGGGGCGCGGCGAGCCCTCTTGGGGCCATGTTGGGCCGTCCTGGGGCCGCCGCGCCCAATCTTGAGAGCATATTGAGTCGCGCCCTCTCAGACCCCTGAGTGGCCCACGGGGCCGAAAACATTGTTTTCCATTAGTTCACGACCATCATGCGGCGTTGGGCCTTCGTTTTGATGGGACGGCGCCCCGCGTTCCTCTCCTTCTCCTTCCCGCCCTCCCCCCCTCCTCCCTCCTCCCTCCTCCCATCATCATCATCATCGCCATCATCGTCGTCATCGTCGTCATCGTCATCATCGTCGTCGTTGTCGTCGTCATCGCCGCCGCCATCGTCACCAACATCATCATTTCAAAGCTTCGTGGCCCCATAGGGAGCTCCACCGAAGGTCCCAGTGGGGGCGTTCGCATGCGTCTCCTTCTCCCAAGACAGCGCTTCGTGGCCCCGCGGGGAGCTCCACCGAAGGCCCCAGTGGGGGCGGGCGCATGCGGTTCCCTCACACAGGGCAGCGCGTTCGTGGCCCCATAGGAAGCTCCACCGAAGGCCCCAGTGGGGGTGTGCGCATGCGGTTCCCCCACCCAGGGCAGCGTTTCGTGGCCCCACAGGGAGCTTCACCGAAGGCCCGAGTGGGGGTGGGCGCATGCGGTTTCTCCACACAGGGCAGAGTTTCGTGGCCCCATATGGAGCTCCACCGAAGGTCCCAGTGGGGGTGCGCGCATGGGGTCCCCCTACCCAGTGCAGCGTTTCGTGGCCCCACAGGGAGCTCCACCGACGGTCCCAGTGGGGGTGGGCGCGTGCGGTTCCCCCACCCAGGGCAACGTTTCGTTGCCCCGCAGGGAGCTCCACCGAAGGCCCCAACGGGGGGTGGGCGCATGCGGTTCCCCCAACCAGGGCAGCGCTTCGTGGCCCCATAGGGAGCTCCACCAAAGGTCCCAGCGGGGGTGGGCGCGCGCGCTTCCTTAACCCAGGGCGGCGTTTCGTGGCCCCACAGGAGTTCCACCGAAGGCCGCAGTGGGTGTGGGCGCATGCGGATCCCCCACCCAGGGCAGCGTTTCGTGGCCCTACGAGGCGCTCCACCGAAGGCCCCAGTGGGGGTGGGCGCATGCGTTTCCCCCACCCAGGGCAGCGCTTCGTGGCCACAAAGGGAGCTCCACCGAAGGCCCCAGTGGGGGATGGGCGGATGTGGTTCCCTCACCCAGGGCAGCGCTTCGTGGCCCAATGGGGAGCTCCACCGAAGGCCCCAGTTCCCCCACCCAGGGTGGCGCTTCGTGGCCCCATGGGGAGCTCCACCGAAGGTCCCAGTGGGGGGGGCGCATGCGGATCCCCCACCCAGGACAGCGCTTCGTGGCCCCATAGGGAGCTCCACCGAAGGCCCCAACGGGGGGAGGGCGCATGCGGTTCCCCTACCCAGGACAGCGCTTTGTGGTTCCATAGGGAGCTCCACCGAAGGCCCCAGGGGGGGTGTCCGCATGCGGTTCCACAGCCCAGGGCAGCGTTTCGTAGCCTCATAGGGAGCTTCACCAAAGGCCCCAGTGGGGGTGTTCGCATGCGTTTCCCTTACCAAGTGGTAGCACCACCGAAAACGATATTCATACTTGCGGTATTCACAACTGCATATGGTTGGGTCCTTCGCCAGGTTTGTTCTTATCAGTTTTACGGTCCGGGGGGGATGGGGCATGGGGGGGCACGTAGCGCAGCGCAACATGTGGCAATTATGCACTCGTTGGGCGCAGTGGACACGTTGCGTTACAGCGCCCGCGGAAAACGCTGCCGCTCAGCACGTCGCATCCGGACGTGGATTCCCCTCGCTTCGCGGGGCGCGCGTCCAGGGCGCGCGCGGTCCAATCGTTGTCTGGCTCTCGAGAACTTTTTGGGGGGGGCCTTTGGGGGCCTCTTTGGGGCCTCTTGGGTCCTCGCGGGGGGGCGTTTGGGAGGCCTTTGAGGGGCCTCTGGGAAACCTCCTGGGGGCCTCTTGGAGCCCCGCGCGGGCGTCTCGGGGGCGCTCTTGCGCTGTCTGGTCCCTTCGGAGACTGTCATGGGGCACTCTTGTGCCGTCTTGGGGCCTCTTGGGGCATCTCGGCGGCCTCTCTGGGCTGTCCGGGCGCCCTCTTGGGCTGTTTTGGGGCCCTCTAGATGGCTTTTTGGGCCGCCAGGGGGCCACTTCGGAGGCTGTTTCGGCCGTCCTGGACTTCTGAAAGTCGAATCAGGCGGGAACGTTGAAATCTTCAAAAAAACATTGGGACATCAACTGTGTTTGGCTTCTGGAGGTGCTCCTGGGGGTCCTCTGGGGGCCCTCTCGGGGCGTCTTTGGGTCTTTGTAGGCCTTCTTGGGGCCATCTTGGGCCGTCTTGGGGCCGCCCTGTCCCGTTCTGACAGCATCTTGAGCCGTCTTCACGCCTTTTTAGACCCCGAAGAGGCCCAAGGGGCCGACAACATAACTTTTCCGCTCGTTTTTTTAGGTTTTACAGCCCAGAAAGGGCCCTCCAGCTTTGAGTTGACGGAAGTGGCGCGAGTCCGGGGGGGTGGGGGGGTAGGGTGTAGGGGGGGAGACATGTTATTGCAGCGCAGTGCAATATGTGGCAATTGTGCAATCATTGGATGCATTGGATACGTTGCATTACAGCATCCGCGGAACACGCTGCCGCGGAAAAAAACAGCCGCGGAAATGAGGCCTTTTGAAAGCTTCTGGGGGTCGCGAAATCGACCGAGTATTCGGAAATGGCAGTTTCGCCTGAGACATCCTCGAACAACGGAGATGTTGAAACATTTGTTGTAAGACGTCTTAGTGTTGAAAGTGAGGCTCTCGCTCGAGACATCCTCGGAAACTGGAGTTGTTCAGATCGATCGCCAACTCGGTCGAATATGATCTAGGTAGCATTCCACGCTCGGGCGGGTTAAAACGGCATGCGGGTTAAAACTGCCCCGCGGGTTAAAACGGCCATGCGGGTTAAAACGGCCACACTGGATTTAGGTAGCATTCCACGGCCAGGCAGGTTTAAACGGCCATGCGGGTTAAAACGGCCACGCGAGTTAAAACGGCCACGCGGGTTAAAAACGCCACGTTTGATCTAGGTAACGTTCCACGGCCAGGCGGGTTAAAATGGCCATGCGGGTTAAAACGACCACGCGGGTTATAACGGCCACGCGGGTTAAAACGGCCACGCTTGATCTAGATCATTTTCCACGGCCAGGCGGGTTAAAACGGCCATGCGGTTTAAACCGGACGCCCACCGTACTCCCCCCCCCGCCCGCCCGCCCAGCACACACCCGGCACGAACACCGCACCCCCCCCCGTCCCGCCCCCCCAGAACACATACTGCATACACGCTCTCACGCAGGCACACAAACGCACACAGCCGCACACGCACCTGCACACGCACACACAAGCACACACACGCACACACGCATACAGGCCACACGCAGCACCTGACCAACCCAACCAGAGGCAACCACTCAACACAAGCTACTCATGGCAACCATCTGTGCGTTTAGGGAAGCCCAGCGACGACCAACCCCATGTGCACACATTCCACGTTGTGTGCAAAGCCCTGCGCGTGCGCACGCAAGCTCAGAGAAGCGGTGCTTCCCGTTCTTGTCCGGAAAGGTTCCGACAGCGACACTTCCCGTGTTTGTTCGGTCCGTGCTATTGATGTTTGTTGTATGCGCATTCCCACCCAGTGCGGACACCCAGGCTCCACACACTTTGTCGGCCTGGGTCTGTGCATCGATTTTTTCCTGTGGTATTTCATCCAGGGAGAGCGAGGTTTCATTACGACGAATGTTCACCATGTTGTGAGCTCTTCCGTGAGCTGTCGATTCCAAACGTTTGCCGCTCGTGCCAAGAAAGGTTGAGCTGGGATTGTGTCCGACCGTGGCCATACCATCCTCCTCCCACCCCCTCCGTCGACTGCAAGAAATATCGACAACGGCAAACAAGCAGAATCCAGGCCACGGAATACGTCGGAATTCCATCTCGCCCGCGCACCAAGAGATGGTGTAAGACCGTTTGGCCCTCTCAATGTGATGATTGCGTTGGGGACCAGGGGAGGAGGATAGGAAGGAGAGCGAGGTGGGGAACGGCGGACGGCTGAGCAGGATTAGGAATGTAAGCGGAACGATGAGTGGAGTATGATTGTTTAGAGTCCTGGAGCGGCATCTCACAAGCACGGCCGACAGCAGAGCAGTTATCCAGCACGCTGAGCGGAAAGGAAGGAGCAGGACGAGGAGGAGGGGGACGCAGGGGGATTTCTAGATGAACCTGGAGGTTTCCAGAGGTCTTTGCTTGGGGGAACGTCGGATGTCCACAGAGCCAAGGAGGACCGAACAGTTCGAGAAGGGCGGTGGCGAGCGTCCGCGAGAAACTCAAGCAGCGTGCGCCAGCAAGGGGGGGCGCGCAGGCTGCCGCGGCCTTTTCCCTCCGCGCCCGCGCGCGGAGGAGGAGAGGGAAAAAGGGGGAGGAGGAGGAGAGGAGGAGGGAGGAGGAGGAGGAGGAGGAAGAAGAAGAGAGGAGGAGGAGAAGAAAGAGGAGGAGGAGGAGAAGAGGAGGAGGAGGAAGGAGGAGGAGGAGGAGGAGGAAGGAGAGGAGGAGGAGGAGGGGGAAAAGGGAGGAGGAGGAGGAGATGAGAGGAGAGGGAGGAGGAGGGGAGGAGGAGAGGAGGAGGAGGAGGAGGAGGAGGAGGGGAGGAGGAAAGGATGGAGGAGAGGAGAGGAGGAGGAGGAGGAGGAGGAGAGGAGGAGGAGGAGGAGCAGGAGGAGGAGCAGGAGGAGGAGGAGGAGGAGGAGAAGGAGGAGGAGAGGGAGGAGGGGAAGAAGGAGGAGGTGGAGGAGGGGAAGGAGGAGGAGGAAGCCGCCGGCCGCGCGGCGCTGGTGCCGAGTCCAGGCCGCCGAGAGCGCCACGCGAGCCCCCGCCGCCCTCCTCGGCGCCCTCTTCGGGGGCGCGCAGCGGGCGCTGGGCCGCGAGGAGCGGCTTCGCGCGGGGCCGCGCTGCTGGGCCACGGCGACGACGACGGCGACGACGACGACGACGACGACGGCGGCGAAGGCGACGGCGGCGGCGGCGGCAACGGTGGCTGCGACGGGCGGCGGCCCCTCCCTCGGGCCATGAAACCAAAAATTTGGACAGCTCTTGGAGAGCTAAGGGAGCTTCAGACGAGAAGCCAGCTGGCAAGGGTTGCTCCGGCGCTCGTTCCAGCTTCTGGCAGGGCACCTCGCAGGAAATTGCTTAAGGTCGCAGCGTGTCCCTGAAGGCCTTTGCTAACAGTTTGTTTCCCAACACGTTTGCCGTCAAGCTTCCCAGGAGCTCCTTCCCAGAGCTTCCAGAGCTCCTTCGAAGGATCTTCGGGAAGCTCGTGTTGCTCCGCTGTCCTGGTTTTGGACACCACAAGTCACGACGGGGGGGAGGGTCGCTGTTTTCCGCCTCTGGGGGCCCTTGCCGGGCCTCGGGACCGTCGAAAAGCGACTCGGGATGAAACGCTGGTCCCGGGAACTGGGCCGAGGTCTCCGGGGGTCGACGTCACGAAACAATCGCAGCGTCGGGGGTCTGGGTACGCGATCGGATGTTTCCACGGCGGTCGGGAAGCTTTGGACAGCGCGTCGCTCCGCTGGTTCTGGCCCACCATTCTTCGGCGCGACACGCTATCCATTTTCACCCAGGCTCCAACGCCCCCAGCTTTTCCGACTCTCCCGCCCTTCGGAGCGGAGCGGCACGTTACTAGCATAGCATGTCGCCAGGGCAGCCGCCGCGAGTCGCTATGCAGAAGTTTCCGACCGTAGCGCTTCGCACACACACATTGAAGGCTTGTACACAAGAATATACTTACATCGCGACGTACCCAAATCATTTGCAACAGTGTCAAGAGGAGTAGACACCCATTAGTATCTATGAATAACCACCATGCAGAAATCGTGATTTGTTGTGCAAGCTGCATGAGACTTGCGCGCGTTGTACGAGTCACAGGACATTCATGTAACGACGAGGAGTGAGCCAGTGAGCCAGCAGCAGGGGGACGGAGGAAGGGTGAAGAGGACGACGACTAGGGCAGAGGGATGAGAAAGGAGCGTGACGATTTCCTCTAGTGGCGGGCTGCTGGTCAGCATCGCAGCAAATTGTTCTGCAGTTCTTAGCCCCTCCAGAGATGGCGAAGTCTACTCTAAATCCGTGGCGGGGCGTCACTCCGCTGGGAACCCCAGCAGCCCTCGAGAGCGGTGACCGTTTCGCAGTTCGCAGCCCCCCATCTATGGCGAAGTCTAATCTGATTCTGCAGTGAACGCGCACTCCGCTGGACCCCTCCTGGCAGCCTTCGAAAGTTGCGACAGTTCCGCAGTTCGCAGCCCCGCAGGCATGGCGAGGTCGAATGGGAATCTGCATTACCACGTCACTCCGCTGGAACCCCCCAGAAGCCCTCGAAAGCGGCGACCCTTTCGCAGATCTCAGCCCCCCAGGCATTGCAAGGTCTAATCTGAATCTGCAGTAAAGCGTCACTCCGCTGTGGATCCTCCAGCAGCCTTCCAAAGTGGCGACAGTTCGGCAATTCTCATCTCCCCAAGGGATGCCGTGTATCTGTGGTAAGGCGTCACCCCGCTGGCCCCCCCCAAATAATCCTTGACAGTCTCAACGCTTTCGCAGTTGGCACCCCCTCTTCCCCCAGGGATGGCGAGGTCTATTCTGAATCTGCGGTGAGACGTCACTCCAGTGGACCCCCCAGCAACCCTCGAAACTGGCGACAGCTCCGCAATTCACATCCCCCAGGCATGGCGAGGTCTTATCTGAATCCGCGCTAAGATGTTACTCCGCTGGACCCCCCAGCAGCACTCGAACGTGGCGACAGCTTCGCAGTTCGCACCCACCCCGGGATGGCGAGGTCTAATATGAATATGCTGTAAGATGTCACTTCGCTGGACCCCCCAGCAGCCCTCGAAAGTAGCAAGTAGCGACAGCTTTGCACTTCACACCCCTCCAGGCATGGCGAGATCATGTAGTACGGCGAGGTGGGAGGCAGGTTGGCAGGCAGATGCGAGCCAGGTAAGAGGCAAGAAAGGAGAGGAAGAGGAATGAGAGGAGGCGGGAAGGAATACGGTGATGACCCCAGTGTTCTATCTAAAACGAGATCCCAATGCATGAGGGTTGGGAATAATAGTTCAGAACGTGAAAACAAAATTGGGGTCCACGGAGTCGCGAGTCTGCAAACCAACGCTACGATTCTACCGGGGAGGGGGTTTCCTTGTCGGTCGGCGAGTCGGTCGATCGTAGTCGTCGGTCGGTCGATCGGTCGGTCGATCGGTCGGCGGGTCGGTCGGTCGCTGGGCCGGCGCGTCGGTCGGTGGGCGTCTTCGTCGTGGTCGGGCGGTCGGTCGGTCGGACGTCGTCGTCGGTCGGTCGGTCCGTCGTCGTCATCACATGAGGCTGCGGAGGAACATCTTGCGGCCTGAGTAAGTAGCCACGTAATTGGACTCGATCGCCCCTCAGTCGTTCCCACCACGATCGTCCGACGATGACCTCCCTGAATCGTTCCCATTCGCAGCCTTTGCATAATGACGCTGCCTCGAGGTCGAATTTGTATGTTCAGTTTGTGGTCTTGAGCATGAATAGAGGCAAAATGAAGAACGGAACAGTGGCAGAGCCCGTGGCCAAGGCAGTGGCCAGAGTAGAGTTTGGGGCCCCTTTGGCATTCGATGCGGCCCTGCTTTATTTTTCCCTCCGCGCAGCTGCTTTGCCGACACCGGTCTGACTGGGGGCCTGCTCCAAAGCTACAGAAACATCCTCCTCCTCCTCCTCCTCCTCCTCCTCCTCCTCCTCCTCCTCCTCCTCCCTCCTCCTCCCTCCTCCTCCTCCCTCCTCCTCCTCCTCCTCCTCCCTCCTCCTCCTCCTCCTCCTCCCTCTCCTCCTTCTCCCGTTTCCCCCTCCTCCTCCTCCTCTTCCTCCTCCTCCTCCTGCTCCTCCTCGGCACACCCCCGCCCCCAGGAGATCCGGTCTCGGGCCGCCTCCGTCACCGCGCAGGCGCCAGCTTGGCTGGCACCGCGTCGGGGGCTTCCGATCGGAGGGGCGTCGTGTTCCCCCCGCCGCCCATCGTTCACCTTGCAGGGCCCATGTCTATTCGATCGATCGGATTCGATGTCGAGTCGATCAATCGGATTCGATGCCAGCTCGATCCGATTAGATTCCAATCTCCTGTCGGTCCGATGCGGCCCGATGCTTGCCCAGCGCAGTTGTGTGTCTGAGCGCAGCCGATCCGGTTCGATGTCGACTCCGTGCCGATGTGGCCAGATCGGGCGCACATTTCGATTCGGTCCGATTTCCCGATTCGATGGTGACTGATTCTTCCTTTGCAAGTCGTTTTGCGTGCCGAATCTGTTTATACCGGCCCAGGCGTCTATGTGCGCCACCAGCATCGTTTTTCAGGCCGCATTGTGGTGATGACGATGCTGATTTTGCGAGTGTTGTTGATGGTAGAAACGTTGAGGACGAGCACTTTTCCAGGGCCCGTTTCGAAGCGATCGATCCGATTCGATGCCGAGCCCGCCTCGATCTGGTATGGCTTCGATATCCTTGCGATCCAATGCGGCCCGATGCTTGCCCAGCGCAGTTGGCGCAGCCGATCCGATTCGATGTCGACTCCGTGCTAATGTGGCCCGATCCGACCCACATATCGATTCGGTCCGATGTCCCGATTCGATGGTGATTGACCCTGCTTTTAAGATTTCTATTGCGTGCTGATTGTGTTATACCAGCCCAGGCATCCGTTTGTGTCGTCAGTTTCTCATTTCAGGTTGCACAGTGGCGATGACAGTGTTGAGTTCGGCGAGTGTGCTGTTGATCTCGTGAAGACGAGCACCGTGTCCCAGCTGCGTGGCCAATCCGTATTGCTTATTCTGGCGAGTCTTTTTTGTCTCGCTTGTTGTGGGGCCTGTTTCCCCCCCCCCCCCCTCCGCGGCCACCCCCTCTGCCCTCTTCTTGCTCATGCACGCTGGCCAAGTCGCTTCTCGTTGCCCCCGTTTAGCTCTATCGTTGGTGCAGCCAACTCTACCTCGCCGCCGACGGACAAATTTTGTGGGGCCTGCGTCGTTAGAGGCTGGCCAGTCCGGCTTCCAGCCTCCCCCGCCTGTTTCTCGGCAAGATTCTGCATTAATGATTGATGTCTTCTCTGGCGTCCGTCGTCTGCTCTGCGTGGATTCGGCGCGGAGTCCGCGTGGATACGATGCGGAATCGACGCGGCTTCGATGATCCACCTGGATGCGACGCGGACGGCGGCGCAATGGGACATGCAAGTTCCCCCCCCCCCGGACATGCGACATTATCTTGCCCATTGCGGCTCTTCTGATGTTCTCTTCGAAAGGTGAGGAATGGTGTCGTCGTCCACGATCAGCGGAGTGTGTCAGTGTGGATTGTGTGGCCAGGCAGCGGTGACGGCGACGGCGAAGGCGCCAGCGGCGGCTCCGACGTCGACGCTGGTGGCGGCGACGACGACGACAGCGACGAAGACGGAGACGGTGGCGACCCTTCCCTGCCACGAGTCCTCAGACTGGAACTCGCACGAGTGGTAACTGCGGAGCGCGGCACGGCACGCTGGAAAGGATGTTCCGCGCACTGTGGGCCTGACTTGATTGCCTCAACTGCAGTGGACCGTAGCCTTTAATAGCCGCATGCCGCGGATACGAAAGGTGACCCCCCTTCCTTCACCCTCTCTATCTGATTATCCACGAGTCACGAGATGTATGTGGGTTCAAATGGCCACAAGAGGCGCGGGGGACGAATTTCGGGTGTTTTTTTACAATCTCCCCCAAAGTTCACATCGTCGTTCTGACCTGCATAGCATGCATGACACCATGAGTAATCCGTATTATCAATTCCGCGAGGATGTAGTGTTGCATAGCACCACGAGTAATTCGTATTATTTTGTTTACTGTTTCTCTTCCGTTCCTTCTCTTCTCTGCCTCCTCCTCCTTTTACTCCTCCTCCTCTCCCTCCTCCCTCCGCGCCCCGGTTGAACTCTTTTGATTGCCGTCATTAGTTACCACCCCCACAGAGCAACCATGAGTACTCCCACACGACGAGTAGGAAACCACCGAGAATCTTTCAGTATTACAAATCGAATTTGATAGGTCCGGAACTTTGATGTCTCTTGACATCACCTTTTCTTTTTACTCCTCCTTCTCCCCGTCGTCCTCCTCCTCCTTCTCTTGTCCTCGTCCTACTCCTTATCCTTCTTGTCTATCATGTTCCCTCTCCTTCTCCTCCTTTTACTCCTTCTCCTTCTCTTATCTTTATTGTCCTCCTTCCCCTTATCCTATCCTTCCCTCTCGCTGCTCCCCCGCAGGACTTATGTATCTCCGTCATGTTTTGAAGCACAGCCAACAAGTAGCCATGAGTACTCCTACACGACGACAGGACAACATCACGAACCTTTGAGGTTTGTACATATAAGTTTATTTGCTTGTTTGGAAATCCTTCTCTTCCTTCTTCTCCCTCCTCTTCGTGGTCTTCTCGTCCTCTTCGTCCTCTTCTGTTATCCTCCTGTTCATGATCGTCTCTTTCTCCTCCCCCTCCTCCTCCTTCTCCTCCTCCTCTCCTTCTCCCTCCGCGCCCAGGCCGAGAGGAACCAATGTGTCACTGCACTATCGTATTTGACAGGTTTCTTGCTCCTCCTACATCTCAATGCACTCCCCCTCAAAGGGACCAATGTGCCATAGAACCGTCGTATTTCACAGGTGTCGCACTCGTCCCATACCTCTAGGCATGCCCCCCCCAATAGTGGCCAGTGCATCATTCGACTATGGTATTTCTCTGGACGGGCTCACCCAACTCCTTCGAACAAGCTCCAGGGATGGGCTTCTCAAGATCAGCTTGGAGGTCATTCAAGGCCTATCCAGACATCCAAACATCGATACCTCTGCGACAAAATACTGTCCACCCATGACCCCGAACTTGATTATCCCCGACGGGCGGTCGACTAAGTGTTGCGGAAGATGATTGAAAGCGCACGCCATGCCAAAAATAGATTTGTGCACCATGGGACGCGCAGAATCGTCAGGGCCAGCTTTTCATTCTGAGTCGTCCTTTGACGACCCAGGGCCCGGCGACCCCGGGAGCCCGAGATTTGCAACACGTCGGAGGTCTGGGACCGTGTCCGGTCTCTTCCCTGGGCCACCAGAAGCCGACGAAGTCGATCGCCTTGGCTTCGCCCCCCCCCCTGCCAGCAGCTGTCATGGGCGGCCAAGAGGGGGGTGATAATTGGGTGAGGGGTGTACAGTGGATATCATGGCGGGGCCATGGAATTTCCCTGGGCATCCTTGCCTCCTTCTCTCAAAACGTCCCCTGGTCAGGGGGCCGCATTAGGGGGGATAGGCTCAGAGGGGGATGCGTCGACCCCCTATCGCCAATTCAGCGCCTAATAGCACGTTGGAGGTGTATAGGTCCATGTCCCCTCTCTTCCCTGGGCCACTGGCAGCCGACGAGGTCGATCACCCCGGCCTTGGCGCCCCCCCGTTTGCCCGCAGGTTTCGGGGGCGGCAAAGAGGGGGGTGATGACTAGGGGGTCGATGCCGTGGCTGCTGAGCCCATGAAATCTTCCTGGACATCATGGCCCCCGTTTCATCTTCTCTCATCACGTCCCCTGCTCCCCCCTCACCCGCGCACATGCCTCGGGCTTTGATTCGTGAGCCCCCCTCTTGGACGGAGATGTTTTGTTCTCTGGTGCGCACCGGTCGCTGCCTGGCTCCCCCCCAGGGTGAGGTTGAGGGCAGCGATCGTAGGTGGTGGGGTGGGGTACGGCTGGTTCGTGTCGTGTCGACCGGCGGCGACCCCGCCGCCAGCGTCAACGTTGAGCGCCGCCGTCAGCGCAGCGCCCCAGAATCTGTGGATGTTGAACGGTCTGACGTTTCGGAAACGGCCAATCATCCAAGGTTGAACGATCCCCGTGGTGTCAGAGAGACCAAGGCCGGGGTCGACACGACACGAACCTGCCGTATGGGCCCCCTCTCACATGCTTGTGCTCGCGCGCGTGCTGTGGCGATCGTAGCGTACCACCGCCCCGACGTGCCCCGCCCCGCCCAAGTGTTATTGTTACCCGGCGGGCCCCAGCCCCCCCCCCCCCCTGAGAAACGACCGTTACTGCAAACCGTGAAAAGCACAATCTCCCTCTTGTTTGCGCACATGCCTCGGGCCATACCTTGCGAGTCCCCCTCTTGGACGCCACCCTCCTGGATGCCCCCGAAGGGAGGCACAGGAAGCACTCCAGAGACGCATCCCTGGCCTGGCCTGTGAAAAATGTGAAGCCACGTGCTTGGAACAGCAGGGCCAGCGACTGGATGCTGAGTGGTTCGGTAGCAAGTCATAGGAGCTTGGTATACCCTCTTAACTCCGTCTTTGTCGTCGATTAAGTAGCCTCGACTAGCGTCTGGGAGTCGATGAGATGTGCCGACTTAGCACCGGTTGGCGTCGATTAGCGATTAGCCTCGATTTAGCGTCGACTAGCGTCGACTCGCAAGAGCCGACACGATGGTATGGGAGGCTCTCCTGAGCTCCCACCGAAGAGTGGGCGACGCGGTCCGCTGCGCTACACAAGGAGGGCGCCTCGCCTGACGGGGTGCGGCGCACGGGAAGGGGCCCCCTCCCCAGGTCGAGGGAAGAAGCTCAGGAGGGGAAGAAGCACACAGACACAATTAATCGTCGATTCCCGGGAAAATATGGGAAACTACGGGAAGTGGGGGGGAAGACAGAATCCCAGAAAATATGGGAAAATATGGTGAATCCTTTTATTTGTGTGTATCTATATATATATATATATATATATATATATATATATATATATGTGTGTGTGTGTGTGTGTGTGTGTGTGTGTGTGTGTGTGTGTCCCGGTTCCCCTTCAGAAGCGCGGAGACCATGACCAGGACGTCGCGGCACTTTGTCGATGCTGATCTTGGCCAAGGTCCGCGTCGGCCGTCGCCGGTTCGACAGGAGGACGCACGAGTTGACGCTGACCGAGATCGACGGTGACCAAGATCGACGCGACGCTCGCGGGTTCCGTCTTGGTCAGGGTCCCCGTTTCCTGCCCCCCACCCGACCCCCCACCAGGACCAGGGACCGAGGGAGGGGGGGGGGCCTGGTTGACCCAACAGGGGGTGCAGCGACAAGGGGGTGGTGCAATAGATTTGCGGGGTTGCAACAGATTTGGGGCGTGCAATACACTCCGGTGCACAAATGTATTGCTGGGCTGTCGCGTGCAGTGCATTCGTTGCAACAGAAACGGTTGCAGCATAAATTGCTGGCGCAACACATTTGCAACACGACTGCCCCAAACCTGTATTGCACTACCTCCTTTCAGCTGCTTTCAGCTGGACTCCCGTCTAGGGTCAGCCACAGGGGGGGGGAAGGGGCGTGCTGCCACGGAAGAGCCTCCTCCTCCCCGCCCCCGACGAAGGTGCTCTCGGGCGAGCGCCCGCCGCCCGGCGGGCTGCCGCGCGCCGTGGACGCGGTGGCCGCCGCGCTGCGCGGGGCCGCGGGGGGTCGCCGCGCCGCCTGTCGGGGTGGGGGCAGCGCTGCTGACGTCAAGGGGGGGGGAAAAGGTACCCATACCGCCAGCCTTCCCCCGTTTTCCCCTGTGCGGGTCTCCTCGGAGGCCCTCGTCGCCACCGCTGGATCCGCCCTGAGATCCTGGTCAGAACGCAGGCCGGGAGAGGTCCAGGGAGCAGCGGCATCGGTACCCTGCGGTTTCCCCCCAAACCAGCTCGCTCTTGGTAGTTGGCGTTTGCTAAACGGCCCTGGACGTTTACGAAACAGCCCTGCCCGGTCCGGTTGCTTCGTTTTGTTTGTGGGGGTGTTTATTCTGAGGGTGGTTGTATTGCTTGCTCTCTATTATTCAAGAGGGGAAACAGCACACAGACACAATTAATCGTCGATTCCCAAAAATATAGGAAAATATGCGAAGTGGGGGGGAAGACAAAAGCCCAGAAAATATGGGAAAATCTGGGGAATTCTTTCATTTGTGTGTATTTATTTGTGAAAGAGCGTGTTCTACCGCTGCTGGCGGAAAACCTGGAGGGGTCACTACCGGTTCGAACCCCGCCATCCCCCCCCCCCTCTGGAAAACCCGGGGGTCACTACCGGTTCGAACCCCTCCCCCCCCCCCAGTTCATCATGAAAAGGGGGGGGGGTCACTACCAGTTCGAATCCCCCCCCCTCGAGCTCGAAAACCGGGGGGGGTCACCACCGGTTCGAACCCCCCCACCCCCCTCGAAAACCGAGGGGTGGTGCGGACAGTGGTGGGGACGGTGGTGGTGGGGACAGTGGTGAGGGGACAACGGGACAGTGGTGGGGACAGTGGGACAGTGGTGGGGACGGTAGTGGTGGGGACAATGGTGAGGACAATGGTGGGAACAGTGGGGACAGTGGGACAGTGGTGGGGACGGTGGTGGTGGGGACAGTGGTGTGGGGACAGTGGGAATGTGGTGGAAACAGTAGGACAGTGGAGGGTACAGTGGTGGTGGGGACAGTGGTGAAGGCGGTGGCGAGGACGGCGGTGGGACAATGGGACAGAGGTACAGTGGGGACAGTGGTGGGGACAGTGGGGACAGTGGTGGGAACAGTGGGACAGCTCAGTGGGACAGCGGAGGAGTCAGTGGGACAGTGGGGACAGTGGGGATAGTCGTGGAGAAAGTTGGGAGAGTGGAACCGTGGTGGGAACAGTGGTGGGGACAGTGGGGGACAGTGCGACAGTGGTGGTGGCACTGGTGGGGACAGTAGGGGCGGTGGTGGAACCAGTGGGGACAGTGGTGGTGAGGACAGTGGCGCTGGGAACAACAGTGGGGGATGTGGTGAGGACGGTGGTAGGGACCGGGAGTCGTTTGCTGGAGGTGAGAGGGGAGGTGGGGAGGGGTTCGAACCGGTACCCCCCCCCCTCCGGTTTTCGAGGCGGGGGGGGGGGTCGATTTGGTAGTGACCCCCCCAAGTTTTCAAGTTTTCGAGTTCGAGGGGGGGGGGGTAGGGGAGGGGGGGGTTTTGGCCGGGGGGAGGGGGGGGGTCCAGCAGGGGGGGGGATTTTCGGGAGGGGGGGGACCCCCGGGTTCCGGAGGAAAAGGGCGGCAATTTTCCACAGTAAAGCGGCGGTGGATCACGCTCTCTCTTATTTGTGTGTCCCAGGGCCCCTTCAATTATGGTCAAGCGGTGGCGAACCGTCGTGAGTCGCTGAGAGGCCCACCGAAGAATGCTCTAAGAACTTTTTGCGCTTTGCACGCGATGTTCTCAGAGCACGCTCCTGCCGAGACAGCTCAGAGAACCTCACTTCAGCAACGCGCCCAGGGACAGATAATGACCGTTCGGCCCCCTCACTCTGATGTTTGTTTCCGCTTGCTCCTTTCCAGTGATATGATGGGTGGTTCAATCTCCAAGGAGAGTGACGCAAACTGCCACAAGGAGTAGAACGGTAGCCGCAATCACGTGAGTCTCCACGGGGTCGGGAGTTTTACGGGCTCAGGCAGGAGCGGCTCTAGGATCTTGCATGAGCCGTGCGAGGGGGCGCAGGAGGGAGACGAACGCAGGGGGGGAGTGGGCGACGAGGGGATGGCCGCAGGGAGGAGGAATAATTGAGCGAGGGGAGGTGCTGCAGTGCTCCGTTGGCCCACTCCTCCCCCTCATGGCCGTCGGCAGCGGGCGGCCGCTGTCGTGGGGCGGTTGATCAGCGGGCGCCGACACGGTTCCGCGGTCTGTACATGGTTCAAGCCCAGGCGGAGCACATCAACACGTCTCCACCACCATGATGTCTGCTGACTTTTCCGGCCGCGGGGGAGTGGGTCCTGCGTCCTTTGTTTGGCGACCCGATCCTCCCCCTCGCCCTCCTCTTGACCTCTTGAGGGCGGGGAACACCCGCGAGGGCCTAACATTCTTACACCCGCCCTCACTTCCGGAACGGCCGTTTTACTCCGCGGCGCAGGGAGTGGGGCGCACCGATTGGCCAAGCCAGGGCCAAGAAGTCGACAGGCCAGCATGCCGCTCCGTTGGTTGCCAGCTCGGCGTGGACATGGCAAGGTGGGTGGCCCAGGCGGCTCCCCTGCTGGCCTCAAGGGGCTTGTGTCTCTGGCCTCAGCGTTCCCGCTCGTTTCCTCCACTTTGGCGTTGCCTCCAGCTCCGCACAGCAGCCAGGTCTGCCCCGCCTGGCCTGCCTGCTCTTCGGCGACGCTGGCGGCCCGGGGGCGGTGGCCTTCGCCAAGTCGCTGCCCTGCCTGCAGGTGGAGGGCCTGCTGACCGCCTGGAACGACTCCGAGAGGACCCGCCATCCAGGGAATGCGATGGCTGTGGAGAGAGGGGCGGGTGAGTGCGATGCTCGTTTTGGGGAGGCCTTCCAGTGGCCCACCTTATGACGGATCCGTTCGACTCCAACGCGGCTTTAGTTTGACTCGAAGGCGGCCTAAGGTCACTTAAGTTCGACTACAGCTCCACTCAAGTCGACGGACGTTCGACACAACATCGATGCACGAGTCTAAGCTGAGCTGGCGTCTGAAGTTGTGGCCACTGCGAGCGCCGCGGGTGCTGGGGCTGTCCTCTGGAGGTCAGGGGGTGCGGCCTTCTGGAGCAAGCGCAGATTCCTCCATGGCACCGACATCGATGATGCGTCAAATAATTACGATAATCCCCCGTTGTACAGCTGCTGGACTGTCTGGATGCCATGTTGTGGAGTGATGCATTCAGGGTATTGATGTGGCGGTGGGTGTCAGCTCTCCGCAACACGTTGACCGGCAAGCAATGTGGACAAACTCATTGGTGAAGCGGTTGCGACAAAAGGGGGTGCGGGTCTCTGGAGGTCAGGGGTTGCCGGGCAGGAAGGGAGGCATCCAAGAGCCGGTCCAGTTGCACTGCATCTTTGAGGTCCCTTGCCTGCCCTGAAATTCGTGCGCTTCTCTTGTGCCTGACGCGGGTTCGACGCGTATTCGACATGGTTCGATACGGGCTCCACGTGCGTTCAACAGGGATTCGACGCGCTCGGCACATGTTCGGCGCGGACTTGGCGTGGACAGTGGCGCGATATGCTGAGCGGCTCAGATGTCCCCCTATCCGATGCGCCACCTGGACTGATTCAGCGAGTTCCCTGAAGTGCACCCCGAACCATTGTGGCCGCGCGCGGCGTCGGACGCAGCCGGTTCGGACCCCTCAGTTACACTCAGTTCCCCTCAGTTACATTCAGTTTCCCTCAGTTGCACTCAGTTTCCCGCAGTTACACTCAGTTTCCTTCAGTTACACTCAGTTTCCTTTAGTTACATTCAGTTTCCTTCAGTTACACTCAGTTTCCCGCAGTTACATTCAGTTTCCTTCAGTTACATTCAGTTTCCCTCAGTTGCGCTCAGTTTCTTTTCGGTTGCATTTAGCTTTCCTGGCGCTGCGTTTGCGGCTTGGTATCCGGCAGCTGCAGCCTCTTTCTGACGCAAGGAACTGAAACGAGCTTGAGAGAAAACTGAGGGGGACAGCGGCGCCCTTTTGTCAACACCTACCTTCGCCCCCTCCTTTCAGTTTCCTTCAGTTGCACTCAGTTTCCTCTTGATTGCATCTAGCTTTCCTGGCGCTGCGTTTGCGGCGTGGTATCCTACAACTGCAACCTCTCTCTGACGCAAGAAACTGAGACGAAACTGATGGAAAACTTAGGGGGACAGCGGTGCCCCTTTGTCAACACCTCCTTCGCCCCCTCCTTTGCCATCCTTCCTCGCTGCTCTGCCTCCCTCGTGTTGCTTCCTCCCCCCTCCGTTATCCTTGTCCTGTTCCTGCTGTCGTTGCTCCTCTTCCTCCTCCTCCCCTCGTGCTTCGGGGCGTCAGGCTTTCCGGGGTCGCGACCTCATGATGATTATGATGATGGCGATGATGATGATGAAGACGATGATGATGATGACGATGATGATGATGATGAGGATGCTGATGACGATGCGTGTGACGATGAGGAGATGATGATGATTGTGACGGACGGCGGGGATGAACAACATGATGGGTTGAGGACAACGAGGGGGAGGAAAAGGAGGAGGAAAAGGAGGAGGAGGAGGAGGAGGATGGTGGTGGTGGTGATGGTGAGGGGGATGAGGAGGAGGAGGAGGAGGAGGAGGAGGAGGAGGAGGAGGAGGAGGAGGACGAGGAGGAGGAGGAGGAGGAGGAGGAGGAGGAGGAGGGGGAGGAGGAAAAGGAGGAGTGTGGCGCCGCCGGTTCTGGCTCACCACGCTGCGGCGCCGCATGCTAAGCACGATCCGGTCCCACAGCGCACAGCGTCATCTCCTCGAACTCCTGCCAGCCTCCCGCCCCATGGAGCGGAGCGACACGCTATCAGCTCGCCAAAGCATAGCGTGCCGCCAGGGGCGCCGCTGCGACACGCTCAGCAAAAGTCCCTGGCCGTAGGCTTCCTGGCGGTTTTGGGCCTTTGTTGGGACTGCCAGCGCGTCCTTGTCGCGACGGGGCCCGGTTTTCCAGAGAGATATTCGACAGGCTGCAAGCGCCACGTGGGGCGTTTCAGAAAGCGCCTTGCCTTCAAGGGTCGAAGGAGTTGTCATCTCTTCCTCGGCAAAAGGCAGCGGGAGGGCGGCGGAAGGTCGTCGGAAGTAGAAAATGTCCCCCCAATAAATGACAATTCGCCTGGAGCGTGCCGACATGGGTGGCGGAAGCGCATGTGAGGGCCGCCGCTGGGGCTTCCAGTGGAGCTCCCTTTGGGTCCCCGAAACATGATGCTGCTGCGGGGGGGGTGCCGGGATGGGTGGCGGAGACGCATGTAAGCGCCGCTACTGGGGCCTTCGGCGGAGCTCCTTATGGGGCCACGAAGCGCGTGAGGGGTGTACTGGGATGTGTGGCGGGGACGCATGTGGGCGCCGCCACTGGGGCCTTCGGTGCAGCTCCCTATGGGGCCACGAAGCGTGTGAGGGGTGTGCCGAATTGGGTGCGCGTGACGCATGCGGGCGGCAGCACTGGGGCCTTCGGCGGAGCTCCTATGGGGCCACGAAACGTGTGAGGGGTGTGCCGAATTGGGTGTGGGTGACGCATGCGGGCGGCAGCACTGGGGCCTTCGGCGGAGCTCCTATGGGGCCACGAAGCGTGTGAGGGGTGTGCCGAATTGGGTGTGGGTGACGCATGCGGGCGGCAGCACTGGGGCCTTCGGCGGAGCTCCCTATGGGGCCACGAAACGTGTGAGGGGTGTGCCGAAATGGGTGTGGGTGACGCATGCGGGCGCAGCACTGGGGCCTTCGGTGGAGCTCCTATGGGGCCACGAAACGTGTGAGGGGTGTGCCGAATTGGGTGTGGGTGACGCATGCGGGCGGCAGCACTGGGGCCTTCGGCGGAGCTCCCTATGGGGCCACGAAACGTGTGAGGGGTGTGCCGAATTGGGTGTGGGTGACGCATGCGGGCGGCAGCACTGGGGCCTTCGGTGGAGCTCCCTATGGGGCCACGAAACGTGTGAGGGGTGTGCCGAATTGGGTGTGGGTGACGCATGCGGGCGGCAGCTGGGACTATGGGGCCACGAAACGCCGCTTGCCTAAGGGGCCACGAAACGTGTGAGGGGTGTGCCGAATTGGGTGGTGACGCATGCGGGCGGCAGCACTGGGGCCTTCGGCGGAGCTCCTATGGGGCCACGAAACGTGTGAGGGGTGTGCCGAATTGGTGTGGGTGACGCTCGGCCTTCGGCGGAGCTCCTATGGGGCCACGAAGCGTGTGAGGGGTGTGCCGAATTGGGTGTGGGTGACGCATGCGGGCGGCAGCACTGGGGCCTTCGGCGGAGCTCCTATGGGGCCACGAAACGTGTGAGGGGTGTGCCGAATTGGGTGATGACGATGATGATGTGGTGGGAGGAGGAGGAGGAGGAGGAGGAGGAGGAGGAGGAGGAGGAGGAGGAGGAGGAGAGGAGGAGGAGGAGAGGAGGAGGAGAGGAGACGCGGGCCACCGTCTCTTCAAAACGAGGACCCAACACCACAGGATGGTTGGGAACAATTTTGAGTTCAAGGTCTCCGAGACCGCCCACTTGAGAGGTTCGAGGGGCCGACAGGAACGGGAGGGGCCCAGATTTCTAGGCGCCGTCGAGGCATCATCGGGGGCGCCAGAGAGGGACTACAGGGCGGCAGTCGTCCGTGGGAAACGCTATTGTGGCTCATTGAGTGCGGCTTTTGAAGGAAAATTGCGTTTCCCATCATTCGCGAGGTGTAGGGCCTCGTCCAGGGAGGTTCTTTGCTGGCGTTTTCGTGGGCTCCCTGGGGTTTTGCCAGCCTCCGGATGCTCAGCCGCAGCCGCGCCTCGCCAGGAGCGCCCCCTCAGGTGTGCCCGGATCGTCCCGTGAGAGGCCGCTGGAGACCAGGTGTGGCGTCCTGAAAACACCAGGCGCCCGACAGGGGGTCAGGACTGTGACTTTTTCTTCTTCTTCTTCTTCTTCCTCTTCCTCTCCTTATTTTTCGTCTTCTTCTTCCTCTTCTTTTTCTTATTATTCTTCTTATTTTTTCTTATATTTACATTATGATTATTATTGTCTTATTCGTATTCTTCGCCCTCTTCGTCATAACACTGATAGTTACCATTGTTTGTTGTTATCCGTAAGGGCTTCGCCCCCTGCCGCCGGCCCCCTCTCTCGGAGAATGGGCCATGGAAGAGCTAAGTCATGAGGCCTTGGCGCTGTCGTGAAGCAGTATCGAAATTTCATGCGAAGCCGATTCGCAATCAGCAAAACCAACTGATCACAAGAGGGGTTACCACACCTGGCGATTGGTAAGACGTGTATGGTTTACGGGCTTGGTTACCACACCTTGCGATTAAAGGGCCGAGGGAGTTCTCGCAGTTTGGGTTACCACGCCTTGCGATGGATGTGCGTGAAGGGTGGCACCGAATTTCAGAAATGTGGCAAATCCCCTGTGTTTTTGGACCCTGACCCCGCGGATCTGCGTGAGGGGTGGCACCGAATTTCAGAAATGTGGAAATGTGGCAAATGTGTGTTTTTGGACCCTGACCCCGCGGATCTGCGTGAGGGGTGGCACCGAATTTCAGAAATGTGGCAAATCCCCTGTGTTTTTGGACCCTGACCCCGCGGATCTGCGTGAGGGGTGGCACCGAATTTCAGAAATGTGGCAAATCCCATGTGTTTTTGGACCCTGACCCCGCGGATCTGCGTGAGGGGTGGCACCGAATTTCAGAAATGTGGCAAATCCCATGTGTTTTTGGACCCTGACCCCGCGGATCTGCGTGAGGGGTGGCACCGAATTTCAGAAATGTGGCAAATCCCATGTGTTTTTGGACCCTGACCCCGCGGATCTGCGTGAGGGGTGGCACCGAATTTCAGAAATGTGGCAAATCCCATGTGTTTTTGGACCCTGACCCCGCGGATCTGCGTGAGGGGTGGCACCGAATTTCAGAAATGTGGCAAATCCCATGTGTTTTTGGACCCTGACCCCGCGGATCTGCGTGAGGGGTGGCACCGAATTTCAGAAATGTGGCAAATCCCATGTGTTTTTGGACCCTGACCCCGCGGATCTGCGTGAGGGGTGGCACCGAATTTCAGAAATGTGGCAAATCCCATGTGTTTTTGGACCCTGACCCCGCGGATCTGCGTGAGGGGTGGCACCGAATTTTAGAAATGTGGCAAATCCCATGTGTTTTTGGACCCTGACCCCGCGGATCTGCGTGAGGGGTGGCACCGAATTTCAGAAATGTGGCAAATCCCCTGTGTTTTTGGACCCTGACCCCGCGGATCTGCGTGAGGGGTGTCGATTTCGAGCCCCCCCAGCAATTCAGACAACGCGCCCAGGAGACGCTAAAAATCCGTTTGGGCCTCCCCCTCCCTCGCGCGGTCAATCAACTAGTTACAGTAACCAGCAAGAAGCAGAACTGTAACACTGGAAACTACAAGCTACAACTGGTACAGGAAACTGCGAATCACGTGCCTACAGCCTGGTGGCCCCACAAGGGGGCCGGCGGATGTTGTATTTGGTATTGCTTTCTTGTTCGCATGATTGTTCTTCGCAATCCTATGTGTACTCGCATTCGTATTCGCATTCCTATTCGTATCATGTGTATTTTTCTATAAGTATTATCAGTAGTTGTGATGTCTATGATCATGAGACCATGAGTATAATCATTATTGTCGTATAATTCATAACATTCTTTTCACTTTTATCATTATTATTGATATTAATATTATTCTCCTTTTTGTTATTCTTCTGCTTCTTTGTTCAACACGCTCCAAGGCCTCCGCTCGTCCGCGCCCCATGCTTTTGGCCCCAGTGCGCACCACCCCCTCTTCCTGGCCCCCCTGGGTCCGAGCAGATGGGGTTGGAGGATCGCGCCGCATCGTCGATGCATCGGCGATGCGGCCCGATGTGGAGCTCGATTTTCTCCGCGCTGGCGTCGTCGATACATCGCCGATGTCGCCGATGCATCGGCGATGTATCGCCGATGTATCGCCGATGTGTCGGCGAGGTTGTCTTGAAAAATGAAACCAGGATCGAGGACCGAGGATAGGATCGATGACCGAGGCGAGGATCGAGGACCGAGGTTCCAGGTTCGAATGCCTGCACTCCGATTCAGACTGATTGCGTCATGCCTTAACTCGGGTAGCTGAGGGAAACTGAGGGTAACTAGGTGTAACTAGGTGTAACTAGGTGTAACTGGGCGCAACTAGGTGTAACTAGGTGTAACTAGGTGTAACTAGGTGTAACTAGGTGTAACTAGGTGTAACTGGGTGTAACTAGGTGTAACTAGGTGTAACTAGGTGTAGCCGGAAGCGCTCTCATGGCGTTTGCTGCGACGCTCGTTGCCGGGACTTTGCCCCAAACAAATCAGCTCATGTCCAAAAGAGCGCCCCATAACAATTGAAGGTTAGTCAGCGTGGGCTCCAAATAGTGAGTATCAAGAAGTATATATATATATATATATATGGTGCAACCTGTGTGGAGCAACATGTTTGGTGGTACGTTCGTGGTGCAAACTACGTTGTGCAATATATGCTGTGCAATCTTGCTGGAGCAATATATGTGGTGCAATATATGTGCTTTAATCTATGTGGTGCGAATGCTATGCATTCTATGTGGTGCAACATATGTGGTGCAATCTCTGATGCGCAATCTTTGTGATGCACAATCTGTTCTATGCAGTCCATTTTGTGCGCAGTCCATGTGGTGCGCAATCTCTGTGGTGTAATCAGTTTCGGGAACTTGGAGCTGTCAACCCCACTGCTCGCGCAATCATCTCACCCATCCTCCCAAAACTTGGTTTGCAAATCACATGCGGCGGCGATTGCGAGGAGTGCTCGGTGTTGGCTGGTGCATTTCTGCGGCCTCGCTAGCCCGCGCATGCTCGCGCGCACAGCGGCCAGCTAGTTTGGCGCGATCAACCCGGCCGCGGTGGCGCTGACCGCTGGGCACTTCCGAGCGGGCAGTTCAGCGGGAGTCGGTAAGTTGGGCGGGCGCAGTATCATGGCGACGTCGACAAGAGTGGACACGATGATGATAGTAACGATGATGGTGACGATGATGACGTTGACGACGGCAATGCCAATGGCAGCGCCGATGCTGATTACGCGTGCGCGGCCGACGCGCGCGAGTGGCCTGCATGGTCACATTTGAAAGGGCTCGTGCCCCCCTGGACGTTCGCAGGGGCGTTCGAATAAGTTTGACATGCGCGCGCGAGAGGCTTTTTGGTCGCACCTAATGAACAGGTTGAAATCCAATAGTTCTCGTATGGATTTGCAAGAGCGCGCGCAGACTTGCAAACGAGATTTCAAGAATAACGTCATCGTATAAAACAACGGTTTTGAATGTGTATACGGAACATTCTATTGTGAATTCCACAATGGTTTTGCAACGGACTTTTGAACAACAAACTTGTGTTTTTTGATAAACGAATGCGCGCGCATAGAATTGTTTGACGAAGATGACGGGGGGTAGACCGGCCTGGTTGGGATGGTATGGATTCATATCGTGAATGAAAGAGTCGGCAGATTCATATGCTGACTGCGCATCCCCAAGCTGGACCATTAAAACCCGGGGGGGGAAATATATTCCTTGTTGTAAAAAGGATAATATATCCGGTGCAAGGGCGTTCGAATGATTTCGGCATGCGGTGCGGGAGACCTGTCTGATAGAATTACATGAATCGGTCGAACAGTCATGGTTGTCGCACGCCGTCGCGAGAGCGCGCGCGCGGACGTTTTTGGAAAGGTAACGCTGCAAAACCATGTGTGTTCATATGTCTTCGGAACATTATATTTTGAAATCCGTACGACATGTGATGTTTTCGAAGGCCGTCGGCATGCGCGCGCGACGACGCGCGCGTGCGCATGTCATCCCATGTTATGTTGTGCATTCTACGTGTGCAATCTATGTGGTGCACTCTTGCGTTGTGCAATCTACGTGGTGCCTTTTGCGGCTACATAGCTGCCACAGCGGCACGCCGGCCCAGACGACGGACGGCGACGAGGCGGCGACAGGGCGGCGACCGCGGCAACATAGCCTGCAGACGGACAAACAGGCCCAGACGACGCGGCGGCAATGAGGCGGCGACGGGGCGGCTACATAGCCATCAGACCAGCACACAGCCCAGATCTTGTGAAAAGGAATCAGAAACCTAAAGTGCAAGAAATGCTTGGGGAACTAATTCAGATACTTCCCAGATGTGCACCCCACACAGGGTACATGTTGTAAACATTGCCGAGATTGATAGAACTCGTTCGAACACATCCCAAGTGGCAAAGCATATTCTTTAGTGCGGTCTAATAGTTCAGTTCCCCCCTTCACGAATCTGTTCATTCAGTCAAATAACAGAGAATCACGGAGAGGGTGCAAGGGGAGTGCGGAGCGGATGGGTAGGGTAGAGTAGGGTAGGGTAGGGTAGGGCAGGGTGGGAGGAGGGGGAGGAGTGGGAGGAGGAGGAGGAGGAGGAGGAGGAGGAGGAGGAGGAGGAGGGAGGAGGAGGGAGGAGGAGGAGTGAGGAGGAGGAGGAGGACGAAGACGACTGCGACGACGTCGACGACCGACGACGGCGACAATGACCAACAACGGCCACGATGACAGCGATGACGACGACGACGACGACGACGCACGACGAGCACCAGAAGAAAGAGGGCTGCGACGAGAACGACGACTGGAGGAGCAGGGCGACGTTCTCGGCGGCGTCGACGACGGCGAAGAGGCGACGGCGGCGAGGTCGACGGCGAGGGCGACGGCGGCTGCGACCACAGGGCGAGGCGGGCCGGGCAGGCGGTGTCTGTGCCGACCACGCGTGCGGACCTCCTCTCCAGCAGCCCGCAGCCTCAACCGAAGCTGGCGGAGTGGTCGTTGTCATGATCGTCTTCGCCGCCTTCGTCGTGGTCATCATTGTCGCCGTCGTCGTCCTCGTCGACGTCGTTATTGTGGTTGTTTACGTCGTCGTCGTCTTGGGCGTTGTGGTCGCTGGGCCAGATTGGTTGTTTTAGTCGTCTGGTGCGGGTTGGTTGTGAGATTTGTTTTGTCCCAGAAATTTCGCGCCCCTCTGGCAAGCTTGCGACCACTGCACCATCTTTCAAATATCACTGAGCGTGTTCTGCCGCTATCGCCCCCCCCCCCCCCCCGGGTTCGAACCGGGGGGTGTAAAACAGCCTCCCATCCGAACGTTGCTGGGGCAGAGGTCGGGGGCGGACCCTCTCTCCCCATCCCGGATCAGGCCCTAGTAGGGTTGTACGGGGCCCTCGTGGGGTTGTATTACGGTTGTATAGGGTTCGGTAAGAGTTGCATCCAGACCATCTTATGACCTTTTTGCAATTGGATCGGGCACATGTGCGATCCTATTTGGGCTGGATCCAGCCCATAGTAGGATTCAAATAAGCGGATCGAGCTCTATAGGTTTCCATTGGAGCTGGACCCATCCCTCGTAGCAGGATTCGATTAGAGTTCGGTCGAGACTTTCTGGGATTCCATCCGAGCTGGATCCAGCCCTAACAGGTTCTTATCAGAGCTGGACCTAGACTTGGTAGGATTCTACTTGAGCTTTCTCGAGCCCGAGTGGGATTTCTTTCGAGCCGGATCCAGCCCTAGTGGCAGGATTCGATTGAGGCCAATTCGAGGCCCCCCCCGACGGGAAGGGACGAGGAGGAGGAGGAGGAGGAGGAGGAGGAGGAGGAGAAGGAGGAGGAGGAAGGGGCGACGACCACGATGATAGCGCCGATGATGAGGAGGAGATGGCCGTCGCCCGCCCGCCGCGGCAGGGCGTCGAGCATCCCCGGCGCCGCGGCGATCCTGGCGGGCCACCCCGCCGTTCGGGACGCCGCCGTGGGGGCGGGCGGGGGCGCCAACGCGGCCCGGAAGCCCACGCCCCGAGGGAGAGAAACAGCGGCCCGGGCATCCTTCGGACGGGTCCATCGAGGAGCATCTCGGATTCAGTCGGGCATGTCCCTCTACAGAGGAATATTCAAAAATTGTAAAAAAATATTCTGGGAACGATCGTTTCACCTTTTTTTTGAGTATTGCTTCTAACTATTCCCCCTACAGGCAGATTTCATACATGCCCGACCGAAATCTTGGATCATCTTGCGAAGCCAAACAGGAACATGTTTTTTGTTTTTACGTCGGCGGCGAGGCAGGGGTCGTCTAGCGAAAAGAGCTATCGAACGGGGATGCCGTTGAAGCGAAATGTGCCACCATGCACTGGGGGGAGAGGCTGAGGAGGTGGCCGAAAGAAGAGGAGGGGAGAGCGAGCCGCTCAGAGGGACGGGTCACGAAATTGCAGAAAATAAGCACACGAAACCGACAAATGCACGGGATGGATAGCGTGTCGTTCCGCTGGTTCTGGCCCACCACGCTTCGGCGCGACACGCTGTCCACTTTACTGGTCCCCAGGTGTCAACGTTCCGAGCCTTTTCCGGGCTTTCCGCCTCGCGGAGCGGAGCGATACGCTATCCACTCGCCGGGCATAGCGTGTTGCCAGGGCCGCCGCCGCGACAAGCTATCTCAAGTTTCCGTATCGTGGACATCAGAGGAGGAAAAGGTATCCAAAATGTTACCCGTCCCTCGTTTTCCCCGTTTTGGCCCACTTGGGAGGTCCTAGTCGCCACGGCTGGGTTCGCCCCGATGTCCTGGTCAGAACGCACCCCGGGAAAGGTCCGGGGAGCAGCGGCATGGGTTACATCTAGGTCTGCCCAAGACTAAGTCCGCCGCGAGGGCGCGAAGCTGTTTTTTACGTATTGTTTCGCCGATCGGCGCATGCCCCCGCCCCGCCCCGCCTGCCCCCCCCCTTCGTAGACCAGATATTGTGCTGCTCATGGCGGTTGCTTTTGGCGACTGGTCCCCTCTCCCTCAGTCTGCTTGCGCGACTGGCAGAAGCCAATCGACTAAGCACCAGCCCATACCCAGACCCCCCACCCTCCCTCTCCCCTCGGCCAAGTGCCGATATCCATGCCTTAAGCAAAACATGCCTGGTATTTGCGGCTCGCGATTAGCGATTCCTCCTCCTCTTCTGCCTCGTCCTTCGCTTCTCCCCCAGTGGTGCGGCGCGCGAGCGCGAAGTGGTTCGCGCTCCGCGCCACGCGGAGCGCGGGCCAAAGTTGACACTGTCAGAGGTCCTCGCGGACTTTTCGGATGGGCGCTGGGCCCCGCTGGCGGAGCCTCTGGAGCCGCAGCGGGCGCGCTCCGCGCGCCAGGGAGGGGCGTCCAGCGCCGATCCAAGGAAATCTGCGTGGACCTCCGACTGTTTCTGTTATGCCGTTTCCGCATCTTCGACTACTTCTCACGACGCTCCAGGGGGGATCGGGGGTCATCGCGGCGGAGGGTTTCTGGAGGCTTTCTCGCCTCGGGGTGCTTGCTGGCAGCTGCGCCTCGACGAGAGGCTTTCCCGCCTCGTGGCGCTTGCTGGCAGCTGTGCCTCGAGGAGGAGCGTCCAGGGGGGGCCCGCGTCGTCCCGAGCGGCCGCGGGAGGCGCGAGAGCTGCGGCCCGAGAAGGGTCGCTTCGTGAAACAGTGTGCCACGGAAGGCTCTCTGGTTGTTCCAAGGGCCGCCGGGGGCCGAGGACGGGGCGCGGACCTCCAGGGGCCCACGCTGGGAAAGGCACGAGGGAAGAGCGGAGGTCGGCACGATTGGGGTGGGGACGGAGAGAGTGCAGTCCAAGACGAAAAAGCTGCATAAACAGAAACTTTCGGCGCTCCGCGCGGATTTCTTGGATCCGCGCTGGGCCCCCTGGCGGCGCCTCTAGCGGCGCCCCTGGCGCGCTCCGCACGCCAGGGAGGGGGTTCCAGCTCAGATCCAAGAAATCCGCGCGGACCAGCAACAGTTGGATCCGACGGCACCATTGCCGCTGCTCGTTGGGGCCGCGTCGCTGTTTGCGGAGAATGCTTGCGCGCGCTTTGGGGGGGGAATGACGTGGCGCTGTCTGGGGCGGCCTCGTAGGAGTGCCGTACGCTCCAGATGCGCGGCGCGCAGACCGCGGTGCCCGGCTGGTTGCGACGGCGAACTCCAGTCGTGTGCATGTCGCGCTCGCTCGCGCTGCGCTCTCGTCGTCGTTCTCTTTGCCGTCGGGCGCGGGCTGCGTCCTGGTCCCTCGTGCGTGCCGCGCGGCGCGCGGCAGGGAGCGTTGCGCAGGTCTCGAGCGCGGGCGCCGCGCAGTTCTGCGGGGGCGCTGCGCGCGCCAGTGGCGTCCCAGGGCGACCGAGAGGAGCGGGCGCGCGCCGCGTAGTCTCCTCCTCCTCCTCCTCCTCCTCCTCCTCCTCCTCCTCCTCCTCCTCCTTCCCCCTCCTCCTCCTCCTCCTCCTCCGCCTCCTCCTCCACCGCCTCCTCCTCCTCCTCCGTCCGCTCTGCTGGGCAGCTGTGCCGAGCAGCATTTCGAGCGCGCAGCCTGGCCTGCGCTGCCGGTTCGCTGGCGCAGGCGCGATGCTGGCCCTTGGGCCCCGCCAGCCCTCGCCCCCGACGGCTGAAGGGTTGTTTTCGGCGTCTTCTTGTTTCGGAGCCGCGCCTCTAGCAGCGAGCAGAACTTGTTGTTTCACTTATCCGCCAACGCACCTCTGACGTGCGCGGCTCTTCTCTTCTCTCTTCTCTTGGCTTCAGATGCCCGGGCACTCACGCCAATGGTGCGGCGCACGTTCGCTTAGGCGGTTGGGTTGCCGTAGCGGGCGCCGCGGTTTTGAGACCTTTGCTCGTCAGTCGCGTAGCGGCGGCAGTTGCCCAGCGTGGTCTGTATGTGCCTCGCGCGCCGCAAGTCGTCAGGATGCCGCTCCTCGTTGGGCTGGTCGCGGGGGCTGCCGAGGGCCCCGCGCGTCGCGCGCGGGGGACAGCGGGAGTCCGCTGGTTTGGCAAGCGGGCGTTCTGGGGTGAGCTCTGTTTGCGGGTGCGGCAGCGCAAGAGCAGGAGGCAAGGAAGCCCCATTACGCGCAGGTGCTGGCGCGCGCGCCCCCCGCCCACCTGCCCGGTCCACGCGGTGGGGCGCCGGCTGGTTGGGCACCATCATGGCGAAGAGTCGCTAAGATGCCCCTGGCCCAAAAGCCTTCAGTTTTTCGCTCAGTTTTGGAACTCCTGGGTCTCCTGGACCTCGTGAGGGGTGCCCTGGAGGCCGTGGGACCCCTTGGAAGTCCTGGGGGCGCCTTGGGCCAGGGGTGCTTCCAGCAACGCCCGAAACAGTTGTTCCCGGGGATAGCGCCCGCGCTGGCCCTCAGCACTCCGCGCAGGCCGCTCCACGCGCTGGGGGCGGTTGATGCCAGCATGTACCGCGCGTGCGATTTCCGCGGGGGTCGCGCCGAATCGCGCGGCATCCAGCGCGCTGTGCCTTGCCCAGAGTGCACGCGAGGCGTCGCGCGCCTCAGGATGTGAGAACTTCGGGTTGCATTGCAGCTGGGTCTGCGCGCCGGAGAGTGGAGGCGCTGCGTTGGGCCCCGCTGGCGCGCGGCGTCAGTGTGGGCGCGCTCCCGAGGTATCCAGCTTTCCTTGCACATTTGGACATGCGCGTGTTGGAGCGAGACCGTGATCTCGGCCCTCGTTGCCGAATCGTCGGGCGCGCTGCCGATGGGATTTCGGGCGCGCCGCGCGTGCGCCGCACGCAGCTCTGGGGTGCCTGCTGGCGATGGGTTTCTTGCACCCCGGCGCTCTGCGCGGCCCCCAGGCCAGGGGCGCTGCGGAGCGCGGCTTGGCCGGGGGGGGGCGAGGGGTCAGTTGAGCGGAAGATCGGGACAAATCGGAACCAGAGATTTTGGGAGAGTTCCAAAGAAAAATAGAACGCCGAATTGTGGAGCGCAGCGCGCGCATTCGCAGAAGTTCCCCAAGGACTTTTCGAGGGCTTGAGGAGCCCAAGTAAAGCATGGGCGCTCAATTAAACTGTTGAGGGCGGGCAGAAAAGCTGGTGCGCACGAGCATTGGGAGCGGGCGCGCGGCTTGCACGGGGGGCGCAGTAGGTTTGCGTTTCAGGGGCTTGGGCGCTGGCCGATGCGTTGATGGGGGGCCCGAGAGTGCGTCGCGCTTATTACGCCTGTGGCGCCATGGAGGCCGCATGCGCGGTTGCAGCGGGGCGGGCGCCCCGCCGCGCGCACCGTCGCGACAGCTCTCTTGGGCGCCCGCCCGCCGCCGTGGACGTAGTGGGCCCAGCTAGTCTCGCGGTCGGCGCGCGGCGGGTCGGCGGCCACGACGCTGGCGGCCTGAAAATGCGTCGAAAGTGTTTCTCCCCGAGCCCGGGGCTATTGCACGTTTTCGGTGGCACGCGCAGCTCGGAAAAGAATCGCCTTGTCTGTCGGCGGCCAGTTGGCTGTCGTCGCGCAGAAGTACCGGCGGATGGCGCGGTCCACGCTCAGCGCAGAGAGCGTGTCCATGAGCGTGGACTCGTCGAGGGGCAGGAGGAAGGACCTCGTGGTCGGGACCATCGCGGCCTGCGATGTCCACGGCCCCCACCCTCGGCGCGTGAGGACCTGCTGGGCGCCGCCGCATGCCGATTTCAGATAATCTCGGAACGGGAAACCCGGGCGCGCCAAATTTCGCGGGCCGAAAAACTCTCAGAGAGTTTCGGCCAGCTCCGAGGTTCTGGGTTTATGGGAATGTTTCGCGCGGGGTGTCTAGTTCAGAGATTTTCAGAGATTCTCAGAGAAGCTCGGACGCGAGAATTTGGCGCGCCCCGTTTTCTGGTTCTGTGAATCTCTGTCCTCAGGTTTTACCGGATCTCCAGGCGTCCCACTGTCAGCCAGAGACGAGCGACTGGCTGGCGCCGCGCCCGATGCTTCCGGAGTCGCGAACTCGGTCCTCGATTCCTTGGGGCCCTCGGGCCCCTGGGCCAATCGCGAGGTTGCCGAAGCCCC